TTCTCCTTATCTGATTCATGTAGGGGAATCTGGTGATATCCAGCCCAAGCATCCATGAAGGTGATGCGCCTGTGGCCGGCTGTGGCGTCTACCAGCTGATCAACTTTAGGCAAGGGGTACTCGTCCTTGGGGCAAGCCTTGTTTAGGTCCGTGAAATCCACGCAAACTCGTCATTTCTCTTCTTTCTTCTTGGCGTACACGGTATTGGACAGTCATTGTGAGAACTGTATCTCCTTCATGGAACCTGCCTCCAACAACTTATCCACCTCTTCATCGACAGCCTTCGCGTGATGAGGCACCGTTCTCCAAGTCTTTTGCCTAACAGGTCTGAATGATGGATTCACATAGAGCCGATGAGTCATCACCTTGGCACTTATCCCCGTGATCTTGGCCTGGGTCCAAGCAAAAACATCGACATTGTGTCATAAAAATGAGGTCATATCATTTCTCTCAACATCGCTGAGCGATTCTCCAATCAGGAAGTACTTCTCACCGTTATTTGGGCTCAGGAGGATCTTCACCAAGGCCTCAATAGACCGGTCGACCAGCTCCGTGATGGGCTCGTCCACCCCCGAACGACCGTTCTGTGATTGCTATTTGGCAACTACCGCATCAGGATCACGCTCCTGACTCCGGCCGCTGACTCCCATTTTCACCGCGGCATAGAAATAGCTTTTCGCCAAGGCCTGATCACCCCGGATCTCCATTATGTCCTGCGGTGTTGGGAATTTTATCTTCTGGTGGTAGGATGAGTGGACCACCTTTATTGCATTCAACCACGATCTCCCCATAATAGCATTGTAATGGGAGTCAAAATCTACCACCACAAATTCCACTGGCGTGGTCACTACCCCCGCCCGTACCATGAGAGTGATCTTTCTAAGGGGCAGGGCGCTAGACCAGTTGAAGCCGATGAGGGGGGTTTTTACAGGTTCCAGATCCCTCTAAGAGAGTACCCTCTTGCGAAAGAGGTGATCGTATTACCTCGGAAGAGCTGCCCGAGTCCACCAAGATCCTCTTAACGTCGAACTTCCCGACCCGCAACGTGATCACCAATGCATCCTCGTGGGGGAGGACCACCCCGCCGAGATCAGCATCAAAAAATTGGATAACCTCGGCACCGCTCCGTGACTTCTTAAGCGGCTGCTCATCACCCTTTTCGTCCACCCTGACTGCTTGAGAGATCCTTTGTAACTCTGCTTGAGAGATCCTTTGTAACTCGGTACGGAGGGAGTTGTATGTAGGCCTCTCCACTGTACAGGCATGGATAACATCAATCACAGGTGCTACCTCAGCTGGCCCCTCGGCTCGTTCCCTCTCCGACCCTCCAGGCCGACCCCTGTAGATGAATTTTCCAAGGTGTCCGTGTTGCACCAATTGTTCGAGGAAGGATCTATAAGTCTTGCACTCCTCCGTCAAATGGCCGATATCTCTATGATACGAACATCAGAGGGGCGAATTCCTTATCGACGGGTCTCCAATCATCCTCGGGGGCCACCTAAAGTAAGGTCTATTTTTAATTTTGGGGAGTATCTTGTGAATAGGCTCGTTGAATATTGTGCTTCCTCCCTGGAAGGATAGGCGAGTTGGGGGTGGAATAGGCCCTCCCCTCCGGGACGACTGCTCCCTTTACCTTTTTCTCGGCATTGTCACCCTGTATTTGGGCGCGACAGACTCTTCTTTCACCGGGGCATATTTGTTTATCCGAGCCATCAAGTTTTTTATGTCAGTCGGAGCCTTCTTGGTCAGTGATTTATATAAATCAGTGTCTCGGGACAGCCCCAGCCTAAATGATGCCGCGGCCAATGCCTCCGAACATGCTTCCACCTCATTCACCTCATCCCAATACCGGACGGCATATTGTCGAAGTGTCTCTCGCCCTTTCCGCCTAAGCATCAACAGAGCATCGATTTCCTTCGGTTTCTTGCTACTGGTGATGAATCGAGCTAAGAAGAGCTCTATCAATTGTCTCCAGGACCCAATGCTCTCGGTAGCAAGGTTCTCATACCACCTCATGCCGATGTCCCCTAGGCTCATGAAAAAAACTCAGCATAACACCCTTTGGTCAGTATCGTAGATTGACATCAATTGTTTGTATTGCCGAAGGTGGCTCTCGGGATCGGTTTTCACATCATAGACTTTGAACCGTGGGACGGTAAACTTCTTCGGCATCTTGGCCTCCCTGATAGCCCGGACGAACAGCGAGATAACTTCGTCGGAGTAGACAACGGGCTCATGGTTGCGCTGAGCGATGAAGTGGACCCGGGGATCCCTGGCTGATCTTTCCCCTCAAGGCCTTCGGAGTATGGACTCCGCTTGAGATTCGACAGCTCCGACGCCCTCGGGTATCCCTCGACGCAAGTCCCACCTGGATAGGCTTGCCTTTTGGCCCGATTTCGACTTTTCCCTGGAGGCCAAGAACCCTCCTTGGCGGTCACGCCCCTCGGGCGAGTGCCTAACATACTCCTTCCTGGAGGGCCAACACTAGGGGGTCTGGACAGGTTTTGTCTGGGCACCTGGTCCCCGACCCTGCGACTATGCTCACCCGCGCTTTCTAACTGCTCGAAATCGTCAAGGCGTTGCTGGACTTTGGCAATTTCCCTTTCGAGCTGCTTAATGCAATTGCCCATCCGCTTTTCCACCATCTCCACGATGTCATGGGTCATGAGGTCACGCCCCCCAAGGCCCTGATCCATGGGGAGCATTCTTTGCGAAGAATACCCCACCCCATCTGAACCTGGCTCTAGAACCATTGGAAGTCAGACGAGTTTTGCGTTCCTGGCCCGTACACCTGCTCCCTCACCCTGAGATCGAGTGTTCACCATCAGGCGATTGCTACCGAAAAAAATGTTTTTGTTCCCACAGACGGCGCCAAATTGCACAAGATAATTCTTGCAATTGTGTGAGGCAGCGATCTCCCCAACTGGCGAACCTGAAACAACAGGGTCAGGAAAAAAAGGGGTCAGATGTGTGCCCGGCTAATCCCCTCCGAAGCTTAAGTCAATATAAGATCGAAAGGTTTTGCTCAATGGACTCTTTTTCTAATTTGAGTTTGCGTACCTTTGTCCATTTTTATGAAGAATATTTATATCTGAATTAGCAATGATTGCCAAAGATTTTCAGTCCCATCTGGACATCTCACATCTGACACACCATTCCTCATGCAATAGGTGTTTTCTATTCACGTCTCCTCCTATTGAATGCTAGGAAAATAGGGTAAATGCTCGGGCATCTGCCGAGTATATATGCCACTACCCGAGTACCCAAATCCCCCAGATCGGCATCTGACACCAATTGAGCATTGAATACTTGGCGGGAACAGTTCCTCGGGAGAGCCGATCACGTCGTCTCGGCGCATCATCCATTAATGCTTAGCCATCATGACAGTAGGCTTAGACTTCCAAATGACATGTGCTGGCAGGCGCGCATTTATTTGTCTTGTCACTATCACTCATTATGTCATAAATGTGGGGTCACATCGCATTAAATACGACGTCAGCTATCGTACTCGGCCGCTCCGTGCCACCATACCTCAATTTACCTCCTCAGCATCCTTTGGACATCCCAACAGCTTCATTGTTCCACGTGTCAACCCGGGGGCTGAAGAGCCACACTAGAGTCCCGCCAGTTTTTATGAAATATTATTGAACTACGGGTTTAATTATATTAAAATTTACTATTTTTGGAGTTCACTTTTTTTTTGTTCTTTTCAATATTTTTTGAGTTGATTATTTTTTATATATTTTTTTTAATTAAAAATTTTAATATATTTGTAGTTCACTGTATGCTATAATTTAGGCAGTGGGTGAGTGGTGGAGGTGGGTGGCATGGTGGTGGGTGATGGTGGTGGAGGACGGTGGTGGGTTGTCGTGGTTGGTTTTTGGATGGTGGTGGTTGGCGGCGATGGTGGCAGTGGGTGTTAGTAGTGGGGTGACGATGGTGGGTGATGGTAGTAGGTGGTGGTGATGGGCGATGGTGGGTGGCAAAAGTGGTGGCAATTGAAGATGATGGTGGGCAGCGATGATGATGGTGGTACTAGGTGGTGGTTGGTTGTGGTGGTAATGGTTGAGAGAGGGGTCTGCCTATTTGCCGGTGTTTTTTTTGGGTGTTAAGTTATTGGAATAGGTGGCATTACAAAGAAAATTAGATGGCAAATGAATGGTATTTTAGTCTTCTTGCAAAAATCATTAGATCTGTTAAGATTTGTAATTTATTCACAAGGAAAAGGAGTTAAGTGGAAACTCTGAAAGTTGTGGGACCTTTTAGAAATGGACTTTTTCTCTCCTGACTACTTCTATTCAATCTAGAAGTTCAGGGCAAGCCTCGAACGCGCAAGGAAATTTCAAACACGAGAATAGACATGATCACCTGTATATATATATATCTGCTACTAAAATATTAATCTTGTATTCTATATATATATACTAGTTATTGTCTGTGTCTGAAAGTACAGAGTAATAAAAAATAATAAACAATAAACATATTTGTATTCATATTTAAAATCAAATCACAAATATAAAAAATAGATAAAATAATTTATGTATCAGTTTGTAATATGAGTGAAAGGTGATGGGCTGCGGTGGTGGTGAAAGAAGACGGTGATGGTTGTGGTGGATGGCAATGACCGTCATGATGGTGGTGATAGCGGCGGGGTTGGGGGTGGTGGCAATGGCGGTGGTGGTGGCAGCGATGGAGGCAACAGCAGCGGTGGTGGCGACAACAGTGGTGGTGAGACAATTTTAAACACTATTTTTTAAAAAATCATTTCACTTTTTTTTTTTATTAAATTTAAAATCTTAATATTAATCGTCAGCTCAACCGCAACAGTAAAAGTTATAACGGTATTGGGTTTATGTCACATGCACACATAGGTGAAGGGGATCGTGTGTAAATTTGTATACTTGATATAAGTGACAAATCTTAGGATCTACATGTAAATTTCCTTTTCTGTTTGACAGAATTTGCTCTATACGTTGTCAATTTATGGATCTGAAACGAAGTTGAGAAGGAAAAAGCTCGCCTCGCCCAGTTTGAGGGAAAATCGAAAAATATGGTAAAAAAAAGTTTCAACACTGTTCAATTCCTTGCTAATTTTGTAGTTTTTTTCGGAAGGTTTGTTAATTTCATAGTTGCTGTGAATTGAATGAATAATTTGATTTAATTTGAGGGTGTTGATTCATTCTTTGTGGGTATCCCATTCACAGTCGGCGCTATTTAACTTCCATTCATTTCTAACGGTGGTGCTGTTGGTAATTTGCGCATGTACGTTCTTGAAGATGCAATTCCCAGCACTCCTTGAACAGAAAACTGGGTAGGTCTATTCTTCTCCTTCGTAGACATATGCACATCATATTTGTAGTTTTTTCCCTCAATGGGCACTTGATGGGTTGATTGTTTCCGTTGGAATTTTTTTTTTTTTTATGGAAACCCGTGAATTTTTTTACCAGCTACTTCCCTTTCAGAAGGTTTTTGCATCGAGAATCTTTTGTTGATTCCAATTTATGCACATGATCAGTGTGTTATTTTGTTGTTAAATGAGAATACTTTCTAGGGTCAAGCCTGCTTTTGCAGATTATTCATGTAAATTGGCATTTTAATGAACTGAATCTGTTGCATACAAGTTATATGGTGGTGGTGTAAGAACTTTTCAGTATGTGGTTTGTTTCTGTAGTTGGATATTATCAAGCTTGAGAATATCTATTAGTTAGAGAAAGCGTGTAACAAGGTTTGATTGGTAATATACGACATAGATATATCAGAATGAGATAATTGTGGTGAAGTTGTAAGTATCATTGATGGTGGACAGGTGATGAAGATGCTTAGTACAACAATGAGAAGAATTTGATTGTTTTGATGCGTTTTGCATCAACTTAGAGCTTGGGTAACCATCCCCAGCGTGGCATTAGTAAACATTGCTATTATGCTTGTTTGGTCCCCAGAGTGGCATAAGCAAACATCAATATTATGTTTGTTTGCTAGTGTATGTTTCTGTGTGTCTGTGGGATCACTTATGGTTGCATATCATCACACTGAAAACCTTCGGAGGTAACGTGTGTTCTGAGTAACCAGTGAGTTGTATTCTACGTGGCCATTGATTCTCCGAGATTTCTATGCTTTCATCGTTTTAATATTAGAACGTGTTAATTGTGGAAGATGCCTGCATTAAGGCATGAAGGTTGTGTGCCAGCCATTTTATTTTCTTTAGTACTCTGATATATTCTGATTTTCCGTTTTTCCTTTATTTATATTTTTAAAGTACATTACCTCTAAATCAATGTCATTCTGATTGGTGTCTGTTTTCCTTTGGCAAATTTCGAGGTTTCTTTTGGAAGGCTGCTAGAATAGGTATAATTATTTATTTTTTGCATGCACAAAGGCTTCCTAGCATGGTTGGGACAGCTTTTCTTCACCCTTTTTCAATCAGATGATTAGAAAAATGATGGTTTTTTAGGTTATGATAGGCTTGGTAATGTCACTAGGACCCAAATTGCTTTGTTTCCCATCAGCAAACATTTTGTGGAGGCCAAGTTGTGTCCACCCCCACCCCACAAAGAGAGGGCCTACATGTGTCCACCCTTCTTTTGACACACAAACTCGCAAATCATTGGAGCGTAGGTGTTGAAAATGAATGGTTTTGGTAAAATTTTTTGGTCTGAAATTTTGGTTCTAAGCTGAAAAATTCAAATCCGATAATAGCTAATGGTGTCTTTTGAATGGCCATCGTTCACTTACTAATGTGTGTACCTTCTTGGTGGGTAGAATGGCAAGCATGTTTCAATTTATCTCTAGTCAAGTCGAAATTTAATTGGTCTTTATTATGTTCTGTACATGTATGGGATCAATAAATAATGCTTGAAACAGGTGAACGTTTGAGCCCCTGGATGGCTGTCGGATGCTTCACAATGGGTGTATCGATAATATTTTTTTGAGCGATAAAGAATTTGCTTGTATTGATGTAGATTCGTCTTTTGTTTCGTCATTTTGAAAACATCATGTATGATCTCTCTCTGAATTTGCTATTAAATCATCAAAGGCGGTCATGTGGATTGTTTTGCACCTTAATGGATAATGAATGCCGATGGTTATTTTTCTGGAGTTATTGGTGATCTCAGTCCATCTCGAACACATACGAACCATCTATTTTTCATCTTTCAACTTCTATTTTGTTTGAGTTTTCATAGATTTGTATATTATGTGGAATTTATTTGATAGATTTGTCTCTCTCTCTCTATTCATCTCTTTATTTACTCTTTTGGGAACCCTAGTTAATGGATTGCTCATTCCTATAATTAGTTTGATAAAATGTCTCTTAGAAAATTAGGTTTTATTTGTGCTTGTGTGTTGGTACATTGCCTTTCTTGTTTGGGTATGAAACAAGACGGTTGTAGCCCCAAAGATTCGTTTCTGCATAACCCCTTCAGGGTACTGCTTTCTTGCCCAATTGTAGAGATTCTTACCCACTCATTAGTGCCAAAGTAAGCAGAATATATCTCAAAGGAGGTGCCAGCTGAGCATTCAACCTCCCTAGATGGAGCAAATAATAAAATGAGTTCGGAAAAAACATGAGAAGGAAAGGGCTTATTGATCATATCGATTGGGGGCAAAAAGAAAACTGGGTAAAAATATTGTTATAATACTTTATCAAGTTCACAGGCTTCTGATAATTTAAATGTTCGTTTTGTTTGGTCACTTATTCCAGTCAAGTGTTACACGAGCCCAACCTTGTTTAATTGAATTTTGGCGGACAGATTCACTATAAACAATCATCAGGTGCAATTGAAGAGCATAAGAAGATGTTTGGGAGTAGTGGCTAGTGTGATTTGTGTAATTGCTTGGTGATCTTTTTCCCATTTATATGACAAGAACCCGTAGCACGTGCCGTGCCATGCTTGTGAAATGTATTTTGAAGGCCTAGTTTTTCTTCAGCTTGGGAGAGGCTTGTTTTCTCTCACACCACATAAAACTTAGGAGTTGAATATCATTATCCAATGCAATATCAGGGAGTTTGTTGCCGTTTTGCTCTTGTAAGACACGAAACTAATTTTTTTCTACCAATGCATTATCGAAAATCTTCTAGGCTAGTTTTCATGTGAAATTGTATTTACGTTGGTGGAGGCTCCCCATATTGGCTTATGAATAGGCGACTTGGACTATATTTTTTTGGTGGCAGCAATTACGTTGTTAGACCACAACCCATAGTAGTTTCAGCTTTGCAAGTGTTAATCTTTTTACGTTATCAATATAGTTGTCAACTCTCAATCAGTCAAATAAGGGTACAAAGTTGGCAATAAGGTAAAAGAAGCTGGTAAAAATTATTGCACGACTGCCGTTGGTCCTGACTTTCCATTTCTGTGTAAATGACACATAAACGGACTTTTACCTACTAGATTCATTTCGTTTGAGTGGCAATATTAAAGTTCAGTGGCCAAATTCATACTGTTTTGAGGTTCTACCGCTTTCTTGTCTTGTCGGGAACCCTTTCATGTCAATCTGATTCCTGTTATTTATCTTTGGGCTTGGAGTTACTACTGAAAGTAGAGCTCTCACCTTGCGTTGTACAGAAAATTGAAATGTTATGTCACTTCATTCGATTCTAATATGACACTCCACGTATGGAGTCGTTTTAAATGTTATAAGAAGGCCAAATGTTGTTGATTCAAAATGCTACATAGAACAGAGTGCAAGTATTTCTGAAGATTTTAAATACCATTATGTCCAACACACCACAGTTTGCAACTATGCATTAAAGAGCATTTTCTTTGTTAAAACCCATTGGAAGGATAAACCTACAGAAAACTAGGTCTTCTGCCTGAACTAATGCTGTTTAAATTATAGGGGTTATTATCCAATCTGTTGCTGATTAATCTGAGGGTGTTGTCTCATTAAAATCATGACCTCTAATGCTACTTGAGGTTGATAAATGCTGTTTAGTTCTCCTTTGCTCTTGATTCATGCATATTTGTTTCACAATCAAGGACTAACATATGCATTTATTCTTCAGAACCCTCCCAAGCTCGATGCTCCTCTTTTTGAGACAACCGAAGCCAAGGAACTTAAAGATATCGACCCTGGACTACAGGATTTGCAAACAAATGTTTTCTAAAAGGCACATAATGACAGGACTGGGAGAGCTCTGCTTCTTCTTGTGTGATTATGGCTTGCTTGTTGTGAACCAGACTACTCATCAACTTTGATCATGGCAGCATATACAAAGTAGGTTACCTAAGAATGAACACATGCTCAGGCTAACAATCTCTGTTTGAATATGAGAAAAGTCAACTTTGGGGCATGCCATCAATGGAGATTTTTTTTCATTGCTTTGGATGTGTATATGTGCATTCAATGCTATTAATAATTGTGACACAAATAAGTGTTTTCACATCCAAACGTATTTTTTATAAAATATATTAATTTAAATATTTAAAATTTTGAATATCCAAACAATACTTATTTAATAACAATGTTTTTCTTATAAACACTTTTGATAAACATTTATTAAAAAAATACTTCTTGGATTTCATAAGCCATCCCAAACACACTCTAAGTCCATGAATAGAAGTTCCTACACAAACTAAATCTCATTTTTCATCTAATGCAAGTCTATAACCACCATTTAGCAACTCAAAGATCTTGTATTGCTCGACTGATGTAAAACAGTATAACAAAGAATTACAACTCATCAAGAAACTAGAACCCCCCAAAAAAGGAATCCCATGGTTAAATCCAGGAAAGAACACTGCACCAGCTGGCACTTGGATTTCACAACTCTTGCCGAGTCTAGAACATGAAAAGAAATTAACAAAATCCTATGCCGAAGGTGATATGATAGAAAGAAAAGCTACCATTCATTGGCAGTACTGAAGCTATCTCTTCTTTTTACCGCCCTTCCCAGACTTGGAAGGTGCAGCAGTCGAGGTGGATGTGGGTTCCTGTTTCTTAGTCCTCCCAGGGTGTCTCGGAACCAACTCAGCAACATGGAGCATCAGCTGTTTCCCTGCAATATAATCCCGATGTTCATTTATAAAGCCATGGGGAAAAAATATATAGAATTCACCTATTAGAAAATACAATAACAGCCAAAACACTAGGACATGGAAAAGACATGAATGATTAGCATACTTTCGGTACATGATATGATGAGCCAAACATCATATACAGTTGGGAATCACTTTTTCGTCTAAAAAACCACGACCCACTGATTCCTTCAAAAGTGTGAATGCATTGCTTAGGAATTAGTATGCAGTGCGTGGGAATGCAGCCCTGTCTAGTGGCTCCCAACCTAGTTATTGATCCATCAATCCCAAGCTAAATGGTTTTATGGTTCAAGTAGAGGTAGTATTGGTGCAAAACAATAGTACTTGAGTAGAACAATTCTTCCTTTTGCAAAACTCAAGAAAGACAAGTACCAAAAGAATCCTGGTTCGTGCATAGGCTGAGGGCAATCTAAGGATGACAAAGGAGAATGAGTTATATGCACAATGGACCTTAACAAAGGCCCATCTTAGCCAAACAAACAATGGTCGATAAAAAAAGACACTTAAATGGAATCTCCAAGTCTTGAAGAAATGCTCAGAATCATCATGTAGATGAGTATTTCAACAATTGTGATCACATTGAATCTTGAATTTCCGATTTGTCATGCTCAATAAAATACATGAACACCTAGGTGTTATCCTTGCAATTGATCATAAATATTTCTAAAACAAAATTAAGGACTCAAAATACCACCCAGGAGCAAGAACTAAAATAATCACATTAAAAAACTCTCTTATCTTGGTTGTGGCCAGAAATATGAATACAACAATCAGTAATTGACAGAACCGCAGCTAGTTCAGCCGTAAATCTAGAATTAGTACTTTGGGTTTGAGCCCTATGTGCTAGTTCTCTCCTTTCAAAACACACACACAAAAAAAAAAAAATCTCCTGCAATAGAACATTATAGGGGCACTGCCATGCAAGTACTCAAAAGGCATTGTCAAAGATCAAATATTTCGAGCAGGCTTTTGGAACTCAAGAAAAAGAAAGTAATTCAAACATTATCACCCACCAGAATGCCACCTTTCAAAGTATATGATAGTAGTTACATTTCCCTAACAACCAAGTTAGGGTGATCTAGTCTCTTAAAAGAACAACACATTCCAACAAAGGAACTGAAAACTAAGAACATGAGACAAAACCTAAGGAAATGAAGAAGACTGCTTACTAGAAGATATAGCCGGATTGCACAGAGTCCCATCTTCCTTTTTCAGCAAAACCCTCACCCTCCCTCTTTGCATAAAATCACGCGGATACGCCTTATCAATCTAACAAAGATCCATGAACACATTATCAAACATGAGAGCAAACTCCCATCCAAGAGTCCCCTAAACTGATCGCAATTAACCACATAAAGAAGAATAAAAAACTGGGAAATGAAACATCAATTATTCACTACAAAAAAAACAAATAACAATTCAAATAACATTGACAAATCAAACCTCAATAGCAAAAGGGAGTTTGAGGTAGCTACAACAATCACGAATCTCAACACAAGTAGGGTTTTCACACGCTTTGCTAGCGTTAATCCGCCGACCCTCAGCAATCGTTTTCTTTGAATTTATGTAAATTGGGTAGAACACAATCCACTTCTTTATATTAGGTATATCCCCATCCATGTTCCTATCAAATCAAAATGATAGGATTCGAAACCATCACTCAAAACAAAAACCCTCAACTCATCTAAAAGGAAGTTTCTAATTACAATCCAACTTTGAAAAAAAAAAAAAAAACAACATAGGCTGAAAAATAAGCAAAATTGAAACAGATCTACTGCAACTGCAGGTGAGGAAATTAGAACGTACCTTGAGTTGAAGAGAGAGAAATCTCGACCAAGAAAAATTCCGGAGAACTTTGCTATGCACAAACCAAACCAGACCAGTTATACTGTTTTCATATTCTCTGGTTATGGTAGGAGAGGCAATGAGCCGAGCTCGTGTTTGTATTGGTCTGGGCCATCGAAGATGATAATTGCATAACTATGGGTAGGCGCCCATACCAATACGACGACTACAATCTTGACTTATGGTGCATTTGGTAACGCTTTCATTTTTATGTTTATTTTTATAAAAAAACAGAACTAATTTTTGTTTTTTCTATGATAAAAATTAAAAATATAAAACATTTTTTGTAGTCATTTATATTTAAAAAACTAGCGATATCCCGTGCCTGAAGGCACTGTACAATTCAGAAAAACCGAATATTGATCGTGAACGCCAAAAAATAAAGTACTGAACATGAACGCGCATATTAAGCCATAAGATACAATTGTATCCTTAACGCACCTGCACTTTGATTTAGTGATCACCAATGTATAACCTATATAAAGATGGAGAAAACTCAACTTTAATGATAAAAGTCTCATAAACTTAATTTGAAAACGCATAAAATTCATATTCATGAAATTACATATCTGATTAAAATTAACAGTAGCGCTTAGTAAGCGATGACCGGTTTAAGAACCGACATTCACTTACCTAACTTAATGTCATGACTTTTGTGAACTAAAGTGAGTCGAAATGCTTTCTTTTCATTCATTATAAAAAATACAATTAGAAGAAATGTATATGCCTCAAAGCACTATATTATGCTAAACAAAAAATCATCAATATTTAATCAATTATTTTTCTATGTTCATTTAAAAATTTTGGACAAAATTTTCCCTACAAATCGAACCGCAAGAAACTATCGATCTATATTAGACAATTTGTAAAACGCTAATTACACAATCCACCCACTCCTTGAAAGTTTTAGATCTTATGAAGCAGGCGAATTGTCTCCCAAATCTATATACATACACTGTTGCAATCAATGGCCTCTGCCAGAATGGTAGAGTGGAGGAAGCAGAGAATCTTCTGTATAAGATGTCCAATTCAGGAGTCTCTCCAAATGACATCACTTATACTGTATTATTGAAAGCACATGTCAAAGCTGGTCACTACTTGCCGGATTTGAGTTCTATCAAGCTATGAAAATTAGATAGTTGCATAGGAGCTTGCTTTGGTCAGAGTAATAAATTGAAACACTAAACATCTACTGAAGTTCTTACAACAAACATTTACAAAAACATATGCAACAAATACAAACAATGGCACATTAGATTTCATTTAAAAAAAAGACAAAGAATAAATACAATAATAAGTTTTCTTAACATATCAGATGAAGAGAGCACACCAACAGTACTGAGTGACCTAGAAACATAAATCGTCGCAAATTCACATAAAACAGCCCCATAATTATAGAAAAAAAAAAGAAGAAACATTCATACACATAAACTATATATGTACACCCTAGTTCTCAGATCGAACGAATGGATAGATTGGAAAGATAGATCTGAATTGAGAAAGGTAGAGAAAATGAATAATATTTGAAATAGAGAACAAATTAGCGAAGAAAAATCACAGTACCTAATTGGTGTTTGAGCCGCGGAGTGTAGCAACGAACAGAAAAGAGGGATCAGTATAAAGATGAGCACCCGCTGCAACTCTGGGTTTTGCGATCTGGTTAGGTCAATTAGATTGCGCTAGGTGCGTACGATACACAGCCGATTAACAGAGGGAGGGAGGGAGGGAGGGAGGGAGACATACCTGGGAGGCGGGTGGGTGGCGGTGTCGCTGGGGCGACGGTGGAATCGGTGGAGATGGCTTAACGGAGAGAGGGAAGGAGAGGGATAGAAGGCGCGAAGGGGAGTCTACGAGGCATAGGTCTCTGACATTGAGCGTGGGTGAGAGAGAAAATTGGATGCGATGGAAATGGGGGAAAATATTAAGAGATAAAATGTTAGTTTTATGAATTTAAGACTATTTGTTGAAATCTTCCCGTTCTATATTATAAATGGTGAAAATAAAAATAAAAAATTTGTTTAATATTATACCAAAAATTTATCATTTAAATCCCACCACCCAACTCCACCGACCATCTAAAACCACCATCCAATCCCACCACCAAAATTTACCCCCAATCCCACCACTAAAAGTCATTATCACAACCATCGAAACTCACCTCCAACTCCACCACTGAAATCCACAGCCTATCACTGAAACTCATCACCATAATACCTGAAACCCACCATCACAACCACCAAAATTCAACCTGTAATAACCAAGTTTCAATAATTATGAATCGTTGGATGTGTACGGTTAGGAGTTCAAATTGATGTTCGAAAGTTTAATCGATAGTACTTGATTTAATATATATGTAATTGTGAAAAAAAAATTAATATTATTATTATTAATTAATTTTTGAAATTAAACAAAATAAAAAAATTACCAAACTGCCACAGATAAAATAGGAAAATTACCAAACTACCATTGAAGATTCAAGACCTTTCTACACAATGCAAAGTGGCTGATCGAGGCTTGTTAGGCTGCATGGAGGACACCCAGCTACTTGGGGAGAGTTGAGTGAGCTGTTTGAGGGAGTATAAAATGGAGAAGGATTCAGTGGGAAGAGAGAGAGGAAAAAGAGAAGTTAGAGAAAGAAACATAGACTTTGTATTTTCGGATTTATTGCATAGGTTACTTCGAGCACTAAGAGGTATACTCACAACCTAATATGGATGCTAGGAACTCATATATGTATTTAGATTTTCATTTGGTTTAGTATTCATGCATAAATTTGTGTTTTAAAATTTAGTGGATATTTGAATTTTGAAACAGGTTTGAGGTTTGAGCATGTTTTGGATTAATTGTTTGTTATGACTGAGTTTGGGGGGTCTTGATGAAATATTTAGTAGTGGTTTGATGGTTTGTCGTGGTGTGTGGTGGTGTAATAGTGGTATAAGGGTTTAAGAAAGTGAAAATATGATTTGATAAAAACTTGTTTAAACTTCGAAATTAGGCTTGTGTCTAGTTAATTTGGGGTCAAGGAATCCATTTCGGGCCTCGAAATTGGATTTAGAGTTCGTTTGGAGGGTGAAACGGGCAGTTGCAAGACTAGCCATGTGTTTAAAAAATAGTTTTTATCCAACTTTGACCAATGATTTGATGATGTTAGAGTTAAATTCGAAGGTTGAATCTACGTGGATTGAAACTAGGTTGTTCAAAGAGTGTGTAGATATTGAGATCAAGAGAAAAGATGTATTGTAGTGAGAGAACTAGAGAGTCAAAGTTGGGTGGTTGAGCAGAAATTTCTGCATTTAGGGTAAAAGTCAAATGAACCAAGGTGGAAGATAAAGTGGGCAGTGGACTTCGACGGTAATTTTGGCTTCATCCGACCTCTGGTTTGTTCCAAAAGCTTCGTAACATTCATGCGGAGGTCCTGATAAAATTTCAAGTCGATTCGACGGCGGGATCAAAATGAAGAGTAAAATGATTGTTTTGCCCTCCGGGGTCAAATTAACCTAGTTTTGAGTGATTTTAAGAAAATAAATTTTATATTTATTTTTAGGTAGTTTAATTGAGTATGTTTATTAAATTTCATCAAAAAATAACATTGTTTAATTTTTGATTATTTCATATCAAAATACCGAGTGGGTAGGGTTTCTCAATTCCGAAACAGGCGATACTTTTCCAATTTGTTTTCAAATTATTTCATTATTTTATTTATGATGTTTTAGCATGTTTTGAAATATCTGATCGGGTGTTTTGAATATTGACTTGGATCCGAACCCGGATGCAGGGTTTCTGAGTGCGGGTTGCACTAATGTTTTGGAAATGATAGCATTGCTTGAATTGTTCGAATTGAATGAAACTTCAGGATTTTTTTTTTAATGGAAATATAAGTGCATACGGGTCGAATGACAAAGGGTTTATATTCCAGTTTGAGGTCGTAAAGAGTACTTATTGAGTTTGTAAATGCCTTGGTGGCCCTGTTGGCCTTTGGACTTGGGTACTGAAATTTGATTAGGGAAAGTATCTTCCTTGGGGTGGAAGTCCTCCAAAAAGGTTAGATCGTATGTTCGTATGGACCTGTAGTGGTATATTAGGATGAATTGTCCACCAGTGTTACACTGTACTTAAATTTCTGAACTCTCTTTTATAATTTTATTTATCTGTTACAGTTTCACATGAAATGACGTTTTGTTGACATATATGTATCAACTGCTCATTTGGATTCTTGCTCAATCATGCTAAACTATACTATTTTCAAACTCGTTTGCTTAGAAATTGAGATACTCTACTGAGCTATTGATGCTCACCCTACGTTACTTTCCCTTTTTCAGATATGAGAAAGTTGGGAGATGTGTACAAAATAATCTACTAAGGTTTTTGTATATTTTAGGAAGTTGTATCAGAAGTTTGTAGTAGAATAAAAGAAAACCTAGTGTATAACGTATACTTAATTGAATAATAGGTTGTAATAGTTCAAATTATGTTAGGTTAAAAGTTTTGCATATATTTATACAATAATTTGTGGTTGTGGGTTATTATACTATGCTACGTAAATTTCTTAGTATTATAACGTTTCGTGGATTAAAGTAACACCGGTCACATGCTAAGTCGATTCGGGGTGTGACACAACCCCAACCCCACCACCGAAACCCACAGTCCACCCTCATCACTAAAACTCACTACCACAACTATCGAAACCCACTATCAATCTAACTCGAAACCCACTACCACAACCACCGAAACCCACTACCCACCCTTGAAACTCACTAGTAAAGTCCACTACCCACCCCAAAACCCACCACCCCCCCCCCCTCCCCTCCCCTCCCCCGAAACCTAACCCTGTAACTCCCCAGCAAAAACCATGAGGGAAGGGCAATCGAGAGAAAGTTAATAGACATTAGAAAAAAAAAAGTGAAAAAAGAGGGACTTTTTATACTAAACACAATAAAATTCACTTTTTGTTGTTAAGAATGATCGAAAACAGGAAATCATTAAATGACACATTTTAAACCACGCGTTTGATATTTTTAGATATTTTCAAAAACATCTTTTTGAATGTTATCATATTTTAACCTTATTTTTAAAACGTAGTAGTTAAAAAAAATAAAAATATTCACCAAATGTGATTTTATTTATTTTTAATCATAAAATGAAAACAAAAACAAAAAAAAACAAAATCACAAAATTATCAAACGACACCTTAATTATTGTTATTTACTTATTTATTTGTTGCTCTTCAACAAAAGTTTTATTAGACAGTTAAACACTAGTGAACACAGTTGGAATGTGGAGTAATTTTCTCCCATCAAAATAACGTTGATAATTTTTGACACAACATAAATTAACGGATTACGATTGATAATTTTTCGATATGAACTTATACGGAACATGACTTATTAACACGGATAATAAATAAATTGAGTTATTATTAAATACAAATAATATGAAATTAACATGATTAATGTGTTTAAGTAATATTATAAGAACATAATATTATTTTTTATTATATTTTATCAAAATGTGATTTATTTTTTATACAAAAAAATATATTTTTACTTATTTTTTATTATATTAATTTTTATTTTATAAAAAAATATGAATGTAAATTAAATTAAGTGATAATAAAATTTTAAATAAAAAATTAAATTATTTATTCACCAACATGAATACAAAACGTAAGTTAAACAAATTTATTTAAAACTAATTAATGTTTAACTTAAACTCAAAATAATGTATGACACGACCCGATAGGATTATCACTAGAAAACAACAAACATTGATTTATATTCTTGGGACAGTCGGGTGCACTTGTAAGTGCAACAGAGGATCATTTCTCAGTTTTTTTATCCGTTAATTTGCAAGTGGTACTTCCCAAGTTACAACCCACATGTAAGAGTAGGACAGTAGACAGAGAGGTTTTCCGGGAAAAAAATTTCCGCCAAAAATGTCCGATCCAGGAGAAGAAAAACACCGGCAGACTTTCTCTGCAAAGTCAAAGGATCAAACTGATCTATCACCAACAGACTCATTGCTGATGATGGATATCGATGTCGACGGTTCTTGGACCTTTGATCAGTTATTTTCTTTAAATCCTACTTCGCCGTGCCTTATCCCCAACTCCGACCAGCCTTGTTCTCCTCTGTGGGCTTTTTCCGACGATAACGATGGCAAAACCGTTGGTAACACTCTCTGACTACCCTAGACTTCTCTTGCAAATTGTCTCTGTTTTTTCATGGATATATTCAAATATATTTAACCTGAAATTGTTTAGTTCATCAAATTTCATTGTTTTAATTGTTCCTATATCTTATCTCTTTGAATTTACTTTGCTTGAACTGATTCCCGCGGCAAAGTTAACATATTTGCTGCTTTCTGCTTGTTAGTGATCAAATCTGTGCTGTATATGTTACTATTGACTCTTGAGCCGCAATTGCTCGATTTAATACGTGGAACTGCGAAGACTCTCTCCTTCTACACCTACTTAAGACATAAAAAGGTTTCGTTTAGTTGGTATCACTTCATTGAACTTTGTTAGTTGCTGAGAAGCCCCAGGAAGATGAGGCAAATCGAAGTTTCGCACCTTATAAATGGAAACAACTACTTTAACTATGCCTTGCACAATTTACTTTGCTACGTTAAGATTTTTCTTTCATTATAGGAACCAAATAACTGTTTTTGGGGGGAATAAGGGTGGGGAGTGATTTTAAACTGTGCTTGTCCTTCGAGTTTGTTTGGACACACTATTGAATGTGGTCCTCTTCTGCTTGATATTGGACATAAAGTTGCTGACCTTGTTTTCATCTTTTTCCGGAAGTTCTCTGCCTTGATTGAATCTTCCAAGATGAATTCTCCTGTCTGAATGTTTCTGTATACATGCATAATAACAATGTCTGCGAAAATCCATGAAGCATCTGCTATGTTCAAAGCACATGGTGTTTTCTTTTTATGACATCAAAAAATAATGGCTTATGATATCAGGTTTCCTTATTTGTTTCTGACTTGGCATTTTTGGAAAAGTGTAGGTAATATTGATGCTGTGACTGAAAACCCATATGGGATTGATGATAAAAGAAGGCCGCCCCTTGAATTGATGCCCCTAGATTATCCCGATGGGTCTTGTGTCATTAAGGAAAAGATGATTCAAGCACTTCGGTACTTCAAAGATTCGACCAACCAACATGTTCTAGCGCAAGTTTGGGCACCTGTGAAGAATGATGGTCAGTATGTACTCACAACTTTAGGGCAACCCTTTGTTCTTGACTCGGATAGTAATGGGCTTCATCAGTATAGAATGACCTCTCTAATGTATATGTTTTCTGTTGATGGCGAGAGTGACGGGGTCCTTGGGCTACCTGGCCGAGTTTTCAGGCAAAAGTTGCCAGAATGGACTCCAAATGTGCAGTATTACTCCAGCAAAGAGTATCCACGGCTTAGTCATGCTCTGCATTACAATGTCCGTGGAACTTTAGCTTTGCCAGTGTTCGAACATTCTGGGCAGTCTTGTGTTTGCGTCCTTGAGCTCATAATGATGTCACCGAAGTTAAACTATGCTCCTGATGTTGATAAAGTCTGCAAAGCACTTGAGGTTTGTTATCGGATGTCAATCCTTCCTGCTCTGCACATTCAGTCCGGTTTTATGTCTTTCGCTGCAAATGAAATAACATGTGGTTTCCGCCAAACATAGAGCAAACCTATAGGAAAATATATTGAACTTCTGCTCTGAGGTATTGCGTAAAGGACTGTGTTCGCTTGGATTTTTGGGCTGTTGAGTATTTCGACTTTATTTTATTGTGCATTCATGTTTGTTTTGACGTTCTATTTGGTGAATTTGTGAAGGATTTACTAGGCAATCAAAAATCATTGCAGGCCATGTTTTCATTATGCATGTTCTATTTTGAGTTTATGACAATTCGCTAAAAGGGGATATATTGGATATTTGGATGTATTCGTCTTTCTAGAGTTTCCGAATCTCTTTTCAGAAAAAAATTAAGTGGTTGAAATTTGGGCACATAGACTAATGCGTCCGTGCAATGTTACTCCCATGCTCTTTGGTGATACTTTTCTTCTGAACCTTCCGCGATTCTTCAGTTACATAATTTCAAATTCCTTGCAGGCAGTAGATTTGAGAAGTTCGGAGATATTGGATAATCCAAAGATTCCAAACATACAGGCAAGCTGCAATAATTGTGTATATCAAATGATGTTTATTTTGCCTCACAAATTTATAGACTTGACTATACTTCAACCAGATTTGCAATGAAGGTCGCCAAAATGCACTTGCTGAAATTCTGGAGATCTTGACAGTGGTGTGTGAAACTCACAAATTTCCTCTGGCTCAGACATGGGTTCCATGCTGGCATCGCAGTGTTCTGGCCAATGGTGGTGGTCTAAAGAAGATTTGCCGTAGCTTTGATGGAAGCTGTATGGGACAAGTCTGCATGTCTACCAGTGATGCAGTGTTCTATGTTGTGGACGCTCACATGTGGGGTTTCCGGGAGGCCTGTGCTGAACACCACTTGCAAAAGGGGCAGGGTGTTACTGGTAGAGCATTTGAATCCCGCAACTTGTGCTTTTGCAGAGATGTTACACAGTTTTGCAAAACTGAGTACCCCTTGGTACATTATGCTCGCATGTTTGGGTTAACCAGCTGTTTTCGCAGTATGTTTACGAAGTACTTACACTGGAGATGATTATTACATTTTAGAGTTCTTTCTACCGCCTGAAATCACAGATAGTACTGACCAACAGACCTTGTTGAACTCGTTGTTCGCTACAATGAAGCAACATTTAGGGAGTCTTTCAGGTTGCTTCTGGGAAAGAACTTGAAGATGTGGAGCAATATGTTGAAATCATTATAGCATC